CCCCACCAATGATCAGCAGCACCAGAATATAAGGAAATAGCAACTACTAATTATGTAAAGGTCCTATTTTTCCTTTCAGCCTTTCCATTCATTTCTGGGGAATAAGGAGCTGTCCTTTCATGTATGATACCATGTGAATTATAAAATTCTACAAAAGCATCAGTATCATACTCAGTTCCACGATCACTTCGTAATCTTTTTATTTTCTTGTTAAACTGATTCTCAAACTCTGTTATAAACAACTTAAACATTTCAAAAGCATCACTCTTATTTTTCATCAAATAAATACAAGTATAATCAGAACAATCATCAATAAAGGTGATAAAGTATCGTTGTCCATTTCTGGTCAACGTTCCATTTAGTTCACAAATATCCGAATGAATTAAGTCTAATGGTTCTGAGTTTCTATTCACAGATTTATGAGGTGTTTTTGTAATCTTAGCCTGACTACAAGAATCACATTTGTCAAAGTCATTGAGAGAGATATTTGGAATAAGGCCTAAATTGCTCATATTTTTTATGAGTCTTTTGTTCACATGACAAAGTCTAGTATGCCAAACATTAATAGTAGAACACAACATATAAGCGGAATTAGAAATTTTATTAACTTCAACATTCAGTTTAAACATGCCATCAGTAGCATATCCTTTTCCTACAAATATTCCATTCTTAGTTAAAGTAAACAAATCAGAACCTATGGTTTGTATAAAACCAGCCTTATTAAGCAAAAAACCAGAAACTAAATTCTTCCTCATTTCCGGAGTGTGTAACACATCTTTCAGAATGAGAGTCCTTCCAGAAGTAAACTTCAACTCAACATTTCCAACACCAGCAATGTTAGTGGAATGGGAATCACCCAACAGTACTTTCTTATCATCGGTCTTTTCAGTGTATGTTTTAAACATCCGACGATCATAACAGACATGACGTGTGGCACCAGTGTCTATCCACCACCCATCTGATCCACCAGTAAGGTTGATCTCAGTAATCATAGCCACAAAAGGCTCTTCAATCATGCTAGCCTGCGCAGGCACAGGGTTAGGCATGTTCCTGCACTTTCGTGCCATATGGCCTGGTTTTCCACACCGATAGCACAGAAATTGACCAGTACCATTCTTAGGGGGTTGAAACTGTTGTCTTCCATTGTTCTTTTGAACATTCGGTTTATTGAAGTTATTCTTCCGGTTCTGAGGTTTGAAATTCTTACCAGCAGGTTTAAGTACTGCAGCAGATCGCCTAGGAGCATTATTAGCAGAGATTTGTAAAATCTCTTCCTTTAGATCCTGTTTTCTGGATTCTTCTTCTATACGTAGCCGAGTGATCAAACTCTCTAAGGAGAATTCCTTAGTCTTATGCCTGAGATTATTTTTGAAATCTTTCCAGGAAGGAGGCAGCTTGTCAATAATAACAGCAATTTGAAATTGTTCATCAAGGGCCATACCTTCGGAAATTATCTCATGGGCAATTTTCTAAAGGTCGTGAGACTGCACTTCCACGGACTTATCATCAGTCATCTGGAATTTTAGGTACCTACTGACAACATACTTTTTGGCACCTGCTTCTTCAGTATCATACTTTTTTTGTAGGGCATCCCACAAATCCTTAGCAGTATTTTCCATATTATAATAGTCATAGAGGTTATCAGACAGACCATTAAGTATATAGTTTTTGCACATGAAATCAGTTTCATTCCAGGTTTCGATTTCACTATTCAAGTAAGCTAATTCATCTTCAGGAGCATTATCAGGAATAAATGGCCGAGGGGCTGTTAAGGCAGAATTAACCTTTTTGACAGTTAAGAAAAATTGCATTTTCTGTTTCCATCTTTTAAAGTGAGCGCCCTCAAAACGAAAGGGCTTGTTAAGGTCAGCAGACATAGTCATTTCTTCGGTAGACATAGTGTTCACGAAGGCAGAAACGACTGTTCTAAAATTGTTATAAACGGAATTGCACAAATAAAATAGTAAGAACAATGTTACCGAGAATAAGACTGAGTCGCGGACAATGTCGCTCTCTTTAGAACATTCGCGGCACTGCCTCAAACTTGTGCAAGCAGCTCGTACCAAACCGGATGCCCCCAGGATAAAACAGGCTTTCACAAGTATAAAATACCGGCGGTTTTGCACCGAACCACCGGACAACGGAACACCAGAAAATTAGAAAGAAACTGCTCGACTGTTTTGAGAGGAAGAGAAAATATATTTTGCAAAGTGGTTTTCTGTATTTTTTCGTGTGTTTAAAAACAAAGCTGGAACCGTCCTTTTATAGGTAAAGATACGTAACAACTTAAGCATGAAAACGGGAGAAAGATTAGCAACGTTTACTGCAATTAGTGTATCCGTTAAGCAAGAATCAAGGCAATAAATCAGTGTAACGGTGCAACGTTTAGCAGTAAAACAGCAACGAGAATCAAGCAATGTAACGGAAAAATTTAAACCAAAACAGTAAAACGTTTTGTAACTGAATATTAATCAAACCGGTAACAAAAATTAAGTTTGTTTAATAACCCAAACCCGACCCAGCCCGGCCCGGTTCGGCGCGCGCGTGTGTGATATATGGTTTACCATATAGGTCCTCCCTCTCCACAAAATGTGGGTAGCCCAAGGGCCACACCCCTTTAGCCCACTCTCTATATTATAAAGAGAGTAAAACTCTCATTTCCCACCAATGTGGGACTTTGAGTTTTTTCACAAAATTCACACACTACACACTTGTTGTTCCAACAGGTACTGACAAAGAGGTTGATGACTTCTAATACACACTTACAATGTGCACTATGTATTTCCATGGTACATCGTACCTCTAGGGTGTATATTGTTGAAGGTTTAATCTTCAGTTCTTCATCAAGGGCACTTTGAGGGTGATAATCCTCTTACGCTTTCCTCATTCTCAAAGTGTCCAACTTACTAATTGACCATGTTGATTTGTAAGAGATTTTGGATTTTTAGGACACTTCTTCTTAATGCTGGAGAAATCAATAATCAATTCTAGATCTCAATTTGAGTATCAGACTTTAAGCATATGCGATTGCATAATCAGATTAATTTCATCATTGTCACTTTATCATTCCAAACCAAAAACCGATGGAGTTCGAAGTTTGTTTTTGTAAGAAACTTACATTCAACTCTATTAGAGCTCGCAATAAAAAATTGGTGATAACATGCGAATTGTTGCATATGTAAGCCTTCTTCATGATCATCATATGGGCTTGACTTAAAACTCATACTTTTCTCCTCGTTAATTAATTGTTTAATTATGAGCCACAAGAAAATAATGGTGATTAATTTATTTGCAATGCAACCGACTGTACTATAATCGTTCCCCAACCACCATCACTTTCAAAAAAGGTAGGTTGTGTTTCATGTTTTATATGTAAAGATGGAAAGACATGGAATGGGTGGTATAACAAAATTAACTTCAGTGTAGAGGAATGGGATGTTAGGGTGTGACTTTTACTAAATTAATGTTGTTCTAAAAGAATGTGAAGTGTTTGGATTAAATTCTTCTACGGAGTAGTTTAATTTATATACTACCTCCATTTTTAAAAGTTTTTCACCATTCATTATTTACAGGGACTCATGCAATATTTAACTATTATTAATATATCTAATTTTGTAATTGACAAAATTATGAAAGTTTGATATTTGTAAATTATAAATCAAAACAAATCTAACAAAATTCCACGTAATTTTTTTTTGTTTTAAGTAGACAATAGTGGGTATATATGGTCAATGTTTATTATCTTTAAACACACATTACAATTTACAAAGTGTCAAGAATCTTCAGGAGCGGAGTAGTATAATGGATTGAATTCTTATTTAACAATGAAGTAATTATTTTTGAGTTTACTGAATTTTTTTTATTGCTTATAAATTGAATACGAATTAATATTTTTATAATCCAATGCTACAACAGATGTCCAGAATTTGAATGTTTAGCATTTATCAAAGGTATTTTAGATTGATAAACTTATAAATCATGTATCTAGGGTGAGATATGGTAGTTAGTTAGATAGCGACATTTGATAACTAATGAAATTAATATTGCAATAAAAGATCAAAAACAAATTAGTCCCACTTAAGACAAACGTAAGTCCCTTTAAAAAAAAATGGAATAAATGTTGATCAATGTTGATGAAGTATGATAAAGAGAGTAATAAATATTAACCCCAACAAGCTCACCAAACCTATATTACTATATTACTATATTACTCCACTTAAATACTTCTCTTAAACAAATTTATTTACCTCAACTTTCCTTTTTATCCACATTATTAAAGATAAAAGGTGTATAATTTTAGAAAAAAACATGCTAATAAATGCCATATAATAAGACATAAAATAAAGCAATACTCGTATTAATAATTGAATTAAAAAAAAGAGAAATAAATGAGTTAAGAGAAAGGACAGGTGAATATGGGAAGTGGGCATGGTAGTTACGGTCTGAAACTCCCGGATATGAGACAGGAGTCACCAATGAAACCTTTCATCCGACAACACCCTTTAAATCTTCACCCAACCAAATTTAACTCACCACATTTTTTTCATCTTTGCATTTCGTACTAAAGGCTAAAGATACCATGCTTAAAGATGGGCCCATTTTCTTTTTCTTTTGAGCTGTTTTTTTTTTTCAGCTTCTCATTTTAAACTTATCCAATTATTTGCGTCAACATCTCTCTTTCTTCTCTGCTCATGTGATAAGTCATGGATTTTGTCACATCTGATTCCAGCGATACACTCACTTGTATGTACAAGTATGGGTATGTGTACATTTGTATACTCCTTAAAGTCACTTATTAATGAAATTACCTTATCCCGATAACACGACCTAAATAATCAAAATTCAATGAATGGCTTTTTTCACTTTGTTAATTTTAGTTTGGGGCAAGGGAGAGGAGCATTTCGGAACTTAAAGAGAGAAGGGGAAGGGGGGTTGAAGAAGGGATGTTAGGTCTGTTAGCTAGATGACAAAAAAACACTTAAAGCTAGTAGAGAAGTTGGTGCCCGAAGTATAGTACCAAGTACATGCTAATGTCATAAACCAAAAATAAAGCAAGGTTATTCCACATTAAGTAAAGCATTTCAAGATGCATTTGCATGCTTTACTGCCAAATCCAACTCTCCCTCAACTAAAAATCTTGAAAGTTTGGACAGTTTCTCCAAACGGAGAAGGCGATGAAAAGTGATTGGTACAATAGGTAACAAACTAACAACAGAGACAATAGAATTGTGATCAGTCGATGAACGGATAGTCACAACTCATAAACCGTGAAAAAAAAAGGTTGAGCTATCAACAACACCTGTAAGTCTTGAACCTCCCACAAACTGTTCAGGAAACTCAATCTTAACGAAAAACAGATAAGCACATTTTTAGATCTCAAAACAGGCCTCGGAGAAGACTTCTTTTGGGAACCAATTTTTCATAATTTGAAGATATTAATGTCACATAATCTCTCCTTTTCAATCTCCCCTTACCTTAGCAAGCTCTTATTCCAACAGCTTACATGGAAGGGACGAATGTAGAGCTAGCATGAACTGCTGAGCCTAGGATATCGTCACAGAGATTGGCTCCTTCGAGGGTTTTCTTATTCTCAGCCCTCGGACTGCCAGCAGAGCTGCTGTTAGAAAGGGAAACAAAGGTAGACTTCTGCAAGACGCCAGTAGGGGATGACCCAAGCTGAGGGCTCCCATCACATCTTTGATCACCCTTGAGATTAAGGGCTGATGTGATATTACTTGTATTGTTCAGAACCTCCCCCAAGGGACCTCCCATTGAATTATTTCCCCATGAAATCGGTATCCAGGCATTTTGCTTCATGCCTGTCTCACCCACAATGGTTCCCACTCCCACACCCATTTGAGATGGATCAAACTCACGAGACAGCCTCAATGGTGAAACAGTTGCCTTCTCTTGATTAGGTGAGGATGAGGATGAGAAGTCAGTCGTTGACATGGGAATCGACATTGATAGTTGAGTCCAATCTGATTTCAGTGAGTCTTCAGGCCAGGGGATGGATGAACGGTTAGAATTGTCCTTGGGCCAGACATCCATGAAATGTCGGAGTGGGTATTGGTCTTGGGTTTGCTGTGCATTAAACTCCAAGATCGAAGAGTTGTAGCTTTTACAGCCCAAATAGGCACTTTTCTGTGTCGGGTTCAGGAGGGAATCAGTAGAGACAAGTCCAAATTCTGATTGTGAGGAATCATCTAACTGGATATGTTGCTTTGCAATGGAAAATGGGCTGTCATTAGTTTTCAAATTCATGGTTGGAGGCATCGTGGAGAGACCCTGCTCATCATGAAAGCTGTTCGTGCACAAACAGTTAGTATATATCAAAATTCTCTGCTAAAAACTATGCTAAAAAGCTAGCAGATAATGAACAATAGCATCATCCACTACAAAGATAAATCAAATCCGTCTCTTAAATTTACCCTAGAGGGGAATCTTGAGGGTTAAATTTACTAAGACTGTAGTCACTTTCCAGGAAAGTGACATTGGGATAACGGGGTCTACCTTATAAGTGGAAAGTAAAAGGAGGCGATTAAAGCTATATGAGTATATGCACTATCGAATCCAGATCATCATGATAATCATAAAAGTAGAGATGTCTCACCGGTTAACAATCGAGTCAGCGGCAGCATTGTTGGCACCAGGTGGCTGCAAGCCTTTGATATGGTGCTGATGTGCAATAGTAACAGTACTGTTGGAGGCACCACCAGTGGATGTTACCAGCGATGACATGGAAGAAGACATCGCTGGAATCACCTTCGTGTTAGTGGGTCCAGAGGCAGCTTGGCCAGTGTGGCCTTCCACAGGCTTTCTTGAACGATGGCGACCTCTGTTGATATGTCTTTCACAATATTTCTGGTCGGGAACTGCATCCTTTGAGCACCGCCATTTCTTTCCATCTGTTCGGCGACACCTCCCAGGCTCTGGGTCTGTGCTGCCAGAAAATCCTAGATGGAAAGTCCCCCATCCATCTATAATTTTCCATAACAATTAAAGCAACATAAAAAAAAAAAAAAAAAAAAAGCAAAGTTAGAAACGAAAGTCATGCAGAAGCTCATACATTATTCTTCAAAGCTTACATCTTCTTTTCCATTCATCACATAATACACACCAAAGACTCATATATATGTGCACATTCATCACTGTGATACACTCTATACTTAGAAATTCATAACATAATTCAATAAAATTCAACAACAATCACCAATCAACGAAAAAGAGTCACAAAATCGACATCAATGTTAAAAGCACGACGTTACAGGCAAAATCAGTGAAATTCTAGGCAGGAAAGAGGGAAGCTTACATGAATGGGGAGGATAAGATCCAAAAGAGAAGCCAGGAAAGCCAGAAGAACATAAGGCTTTCCTAATAGGAATGAGCAAATTAGCAGGAACAGGAACATTTGCAGTTATATACTTGTATATCATTGCCTGATGTTCTAACTCTATCCATTGTGCTGGTGTAAATGGTCCTCTTATCCCTGAAAATGATCCATGCATGCTCCCATTCAAGTTTCCATGATTAAACCCTGATTTTTAATAACATAAACATCATATAGTATAAATTAACTGCTGAGATAAGACCATATTATAAACAAAAATAAAAATTCAAACAGAAGATGAAAATAATTGAATAAAACAGGACAAAATTAAATGGGGACCATAATCTAGAGAAATGCATTACCAGTTTCACCAAAATCTATCATTGCCAGAGCAGAAAGGCAAATATTTATCAGAGAAAATAAGAATTTAAAAGGATAATAAAATTAAAAAGTAACTAGAACTGAAATTAATTGGCAGAAACATTAAATTTTTTTATGCAGCATCCAATTTCATCAAAATTTGTAAAATTTGCTACAATGGAGGAGACAGAACATCAAGGTTATAGATTGGAAAGACAAGATCAACTAATCCTACTATTTTACCCTATTACAATTTTTTTACCTTTTTTGTTTTCTCACAAAATAAATTTATACCCAAATTTTACTAAAATAAACCCATAAAGAAAAAGAAAAAAAAAAAAAAATCATTGAACTGTTACTTGACAAGACCAACAAAAAGATTGAAAAGACATTTTACAACTTACAACCTGTATTCCTTTACCAATGAAAGCTAGTTAAAATAAAAATTGATAAATTACTGTATCATGATAATGACATTTTGCTAATTAAAGTACCCATCAACTAAAATCAAGATCAAAACAACCCTAAAATGGAAATTAATACGGTAATCATAAAATTAATTAATTAGATAAACAAACAAAAACAGAGTAATTAATAAATTAACTAATTAAAAGCATACCAGCAGGAGTTCTGGAGTAAGAAGGAAGTTGTTGTTGTTGCTGCTGCTGAAAATAAGATAAAAGAAGATTCTGGGCATTTTTATTGTCTGAAATGAAATTAACATCTTTAGCAGAAAGAAAGCTAAGTTGTTGAGGTTTAGTTGAAGAAGAAAAGCTCAACATTTGTTGTTTAGGAACAGCATTATCAGATCTCAGCCCCAAATCATCAGCCCTTTTAACAATTTTAGCAACCCTATTATCTTCATCAACAAACGGGTCGGATCTTTCTTGCTTGATTAACCCAGATCCATTAATACTACACTTGGGTTTTCCTTCAAGTATTTGATTTTGGTGGTCTGAACAAGATGAAGATACTGCAGTTTGACCCACTACCAAACCATCGAAATCCATTTCCTCAGTTCCAGTAAAAAGGTTGAGTTCATGAGAAAAAAGTAATTGAAAAAAAAAAGAAAAAAATAATTGGTTTTGAAAAATTAAGTTGGAGGAAGAAGAAAGGGGAGAAGGAAGAAGACGAGGAGGAGAGAGAAAGGGAGGCGCATCTTAAGGGGTTGAGGAAGAAGGGTGCTTCTAAAAGAGGAGAGGGAAAGTGAAGGATTTATTTAAAAAGAAATTGAGATTAATTTTGAGTTATTTAATTTGTTTTGTTTTTTTAATTTTGAGGAAGAAGAGAGTGAATCGAGAGAGTTGTGTTGAAACTCACGAAATTGGACAATGTAGTACCCAAATACAATACGGAGGACTCCAGATTACAAAGACTTGGACCATGGACTGAAATTACACCTCAATTATACATTTTCTAATTTTGAGGTTTATTTATATTTGTATAAATAAATGAAGAGTTTTTTAAGGGTTTTATTGAATAAGTGGAGATTTTTTCTAGATACCTTATCTTATTTTGAGGCATAAGTGTAAGAATAGATGAAGATGAAGATCTTTTGTATACGATTAGTAAGTGAATTGGACGATATTTCATATTATTGTATGGAATACAGTATTTTTCTAGTTGATGAAAAGTATATTATTGTTATCGGCATTTTATATATGGTGTTGATTTGGTGGAGAAAAATGATTGCTAAGGATGAAAAAATAAAACATGAGGTATCAACGCTAAAATTAAGTAAAGAATAAAAGAGTTATAGTTTTATAGGCACGCAATGTATGTAAGTGTCTTCACCGTCTTTTCAATCCCTAATATTTTCATCTCAATACAAGCCACTATTAATCTTCTGACTAATGTTACCTCTTTTTTTTTCACTTATACTACTTGTTCTAGCTAGTTTTGCCTCTCTTCTTGCACTAGCTCGTTTTTTTTTTTTTTTTTTTTTTTTTAATTTTTAATTTAACTAGTAGTTCATTGATGATGATTTTGTAAGGCATAGTAGTAAATTAAATTCTTTTACAATCAACTAAATTTGGTGGACCAATAACATGCAAAAGTGGCACATAGCGTTTACAACAAGTGTAACTAAGTCTAAGACATACATTAAAAAAAATCTCTAGAACAGTTGAGTAACTTGTATTGAATCTTGTATCAACAAATCATAATTTAAATTTCTCCCATTTTAAACAAATCTTGTATTGAATTGTTGAGTGACTTCCAAAATCTTGGAGCCCTTCTTAAAATAGGGCAAAGCATTACTTCTTGTATCTTGGGGGGATGTTTATAGAATTAGTAGCACTATATCCTTTAATTTCCGTAACATCACTTAGAAAATCCGAAATTGGACACGATACCACAATAACCAAGGTATGATATTAATGAAAAAAAAATAGGTGAAACTTGGAATAATTCACAATTTCTTGTTACACTTAGTTTTTAATCGTAGATTATTACATCACAGGCATATAACATGATTGGTCATTAAAGGAAATGTTATGAAGCTACGAAGATATCCCAAACCTCTCGCTTGAAAGTTTAGTATGTTCAGTCGGCTTTAGGATGTGCTTCAAACTCATTTCTATATAAAACAAAACAATATGTAACAAGTATGATGTCTAATTAGATATGTTTATGATAGTACCTTTGTTTAGTTTACCTAACCACCATTTTGAAGCAATTCTCAAACACACGGACCTTTTGAATTTTTTGCAATTTACACATAAAAGAAATATAGTCATATGAAATATTGATATATTCATCAATTGTCACTACATTTATTTAAAAATACGAGTATTAGTTTTGTTATAACTTTTATTAGACTTATAAATAATCAAATATACAGAAATTGTTTGTAAAAGTTATTCATCAGCAAATATAAAAGTCAAATCAAATAACTAAAAAAAAACCTACAAATAAAATTAGAGGGAATAAGTAAGATTAAGCATCATTATTCAAGCAAATAATTACATAAAATGAGTTCAAATCAACTTTTTCATACCTTACAACAAATGATAAGCAAATCAAACTAATTTCAACCCTCATATGGTACTTCATTCATCTTCCAAGATAATGCATAAATTCTCAAACCATTGTAATCCTACATTCACGATTCATGTGTTAAACAGATATGTATGCACAAATCGCATACATATATAATGCATTGCAATGGAGCACGGTGCTCTTTGCGATAGTAATGCGATATATATGTACGAGTACCACAAAAGTCCACAATATTCGTATGATTTGTGACAAAAAAGTAGAGTTATTAATAGATTGAGCCCCAATTCCAAACCTAACTAAAACCTAGTTTAAGTTGAAGGGTCAAAGTAACACATATATTCCACTCAACCCCAAATTAGCAAATGAGTTATGAGTACTGTATCTGTATGTATGTATGTATGTCTGTTTGTCATTATGTGAAATCAAGTCAAAGAACGAACTCAACCAAATTAAAGAATCAAATAAATAAAATCTCACGAGAAACCAAAAATCCAAAAGGGCATTTATGTCACTTGAAAAGTACTACAGTAGTAAAAATAAAAAAATACAAAAATCTTTTTTACATGGATTCTTTACCGTTTGGCTTTAAATAGTCCAAATTGTCCTCCCAATTGCCAGGCTGATGGAATTGATTTGGTCCTCAACCCTGACTTGACAACTTTTAGCCAAACATCAACTTCCAAGTTCCAACCCCTCTTCATCTGTTCTCTTGTTAATTGGAGGGTATAAAGGGAAGACTTGCGTTATTTTCATTTATTTCTCTTGTTAATTGGAGGCTATAAGGGGAGCACTTATTTGCCTTATTTTTATTTATTTTGAATCTAATGAGTTCGGATAAAAAAAGTTTAGTAATAATAAGATCAGGAAAAATAGCTTTTAATAAGAGTATCTAAGTTTAAATTAGAAATAAAATAAGTTTTAATAAGGTTTAACAAGTTAGATTAATTGAAGCAAATTAAGACAAGCTCAAATAAGATAAAGACAATTTTTTATTTTTTTTTAAAAGGTAAAACTACGGGAAGGGTCCCCACTCTATCACAGGAATGGAGGGGCCATGAGGAATCGAACCCCATCACATGGGGGAGAGATGGAGGGACTAACCATCCCTCTATCTCCTCGTTTCTCAAGATAAGACAAGTTATGATAAGTAAAAGTCAGATGAATCGAACATACTCAGAGTTTCAACGAATAAATTAGATAAAATTAGAACTATATGGAGAGGGATGACCGGATGAGGCTATAAATTAAAAAAAAAAAGGAAGCGTGTGTATGAAATGTGTAACTTACAAATAATGCTAGATGCACAATTGCAACCCCCTACCCACGTGACTTTTATTGTATATTATTAGTACTTCATCACCCTTCAAATCAAAGTATCAACTCTTTTATACTTTTCTTAGATTGATTTTTCATCACTTCTTAAGGAAAGTTATAAAGTTGTATTATCCTTAATATATTTTGACTTATCTAGCTAATATAAGTCAATGATATAAAAAAAAGGTTTAGGTCATTTCACGCAAAATAAGTTATAAACTTATAATCAATTTAGCTATAAAAAGCTTACAATCATTTCAGACAGAATAATTTTTAATATGTAGTAATTTTTGCAACTTAATTTGAGTTATTTTAAATTAAAAAAACTTTGATACATAAGATATCAAATTAAAAGTGCCCTTATATTGTTGGATTGGCAATTTACATAGTTGACATTAAAAAGGGAGAATAAAAAATCAGTTCAAAAAGGAAAAAGAGATTTTAAAAAATTAAAAAAATAAAAAATAAAATAAAAATAAAAATAAAAAAACTTTTTAGATAGTTGGTTTGGCTAGTTGACAATTCAATCGGGCCATAATGATGATAGGTGGTTAAAGCCTAAATTCTTAGCGGCAATTGGCAAGCATGCACCATTGCACCTTAAAGAGTTAAAGGTGACAAACAACTACATGGGCCTAGCCTATTCTATTTTGTGGGCCGTTGCATGACTATTCACCAATTTTAAACCGCACTAAATTGTCGCTTATTCGGTTATTCCCTTTCTTCATTAAAATTTTACTACTCTTTCCGTACTAATATTAAAAAAGGCAATGTGTCGAGTATTCTGAGATGGAGTATCTTTTGTAGAAAAGAAAACACTCACTTTGTCTCAAATTGTTGTAAAATTTTGGAACGTAAATTTGATCATAATTATCCTAATTAGTTGTTAAAAATAACTTTCTTCATGTCTTGATAATTACTTCGTACGAGTATATTGCAAGGTGATGTTTAGTGTTATGAACATACAAAGATCCTCCTAAAAATTGATAATAAGTGGTGCTCAGAACCAGATTTTTGGCATGTTATCTTCTGTCTTTTTGTGATTAACTTTCAGTTTCCTCTCTTGACTCCTGTTACACACTTACACATACAACAAACAGCTTACTCAAATGACAAATCCACTTTCATGAAGAAGCAAACATATGCTTCAATGTGATGGCATCAACGTGAGTGGATCTAGAATTTAGAAAGAGGAAAAGGAATGCATAGCATGATAATCAACCGCGCTTTCAAAAAATGTTAATCAGACACGTGAACATAATCTCTAATACCCAAGATAGTGAAATGAGGCAGAACTTTAAACTAGAACTGCATAAAAATACATCAGCAAGTCACTTACACTACTACAAAAACATGAAAAGAAACCCTTTAAAATTAGCCTGAGAAACCACTTTAGAGGGGGTCTTAAGCTCAGAGGTCTCTTAGGTTAAGAAACCACATTTTTTAGGGGGTTAGTTTGCTCAACTTAAGAAACTACTTTTTAAGAGAAGGGGTTTTTTTATGTACTGCTAAGACTATTCTATAATAACATTAAAGAAACCACTTTTTAGAAAAAAGGGGGTTTCTTTGGTTTAATTAAAGAAATCACTTTTAGTGAAAGGGGTTATTTTATGTACTGCTAAGACTATTCTATAATAACATTAAAGAAACCACTTTTTAGAAAAAAGGAGGTTTCTTTGGTTTAATTAAAGAAATCACTTTTAGTGAAAGGGGTTTTTTTTTTATCCGTTCATAATTCAGAAAAAATATATATATTGCAATATAACTATCAAATACATACAATGGTATGTACGATAGCTATACCACAATATATACAATATTCCTACATATCACGCTCCCTTTGATTTTCAAGCTCCTTACTCCATATAATATTGATGCACAAATATGTAAAATTCTTTTACATAATATTAATATAACTGTAAAATTCTAAACACAATCAACAACATTTACAATAACTGATCTTCTAAAACCTCTAAAGAAATTATATTTGTCTCCAAACAAAATTAATAAAGCTCCAACCGTCCTTTGTTGAATAAAAATTTTCACCTACAAAATTCAACAAATTAATTAATCATATAGGTTACAATTTACAACAAATAAAAAGAAATGAATGTCGAAACTTAAATTAACTGAAAAATGAAGGATTTAAAGCAGATAGCTTTTCAATTAGCTGCAAACGAAGAGATCAATCATATATGCATCAATTACTTAGAGGGGCTAAAAATTCTCAAGGCAGTTATTGCAGATTACATCACCATCATTGAAATAAAAAACTGATGGGCATGATATGCAATTGGAACAATTAAACAAAGTCATTGTTAATGAGCAATTTCATAATAACTAAAGACTTAGCGTACAATTTTTTGTTGAGTTCGTTATCTTTCCTCCACAATTCTTTTATTCAAATTTCAAAGTTTATACTTCTTCTTCCTATTAATTTAGTTGTTGTTTCAACAATTACCCACTAATTCAAAAACAAAATCAAGCATGCATACAACAATTCTAACACATTCACATCAAACAAGGCTAATCAACTCCAATCAAACCCATTCCAATTCCTTGAACAAACAGTATTAATTCACAATTTATGAACTTTTATAGATCAAGTAAAAAAGCATCAGATTTGAAATTTAAATTAAAAAAAAAAAAAAGAAGCTTACTTTAAGCCGATTGAATGTGTTCTTGTTGCAGGATTAACACAGTTAGCTGGCTGGGAACCAGTTTCTTCTGCCATTAAACTTGATAATTTAAAAAATGAAAATTAGAGAAATTTGATTTAGGGTACTTCAATAAATTACAGAAGTTTATCTAAAAACGAAATTAAACAATTTTAAAACACAAATTACGAAATTAAACAATTTAAACAAAAGTTCGTGAAAAGATGATTAAACACAAAATCGAAATATTCAGAAATGAAATTGAAAAAAAAAAAAAAAAAAACGAATTACAATAACAAATTGATTACATTTACCTATGAGTGCTCAACACATTTACCTATAAAGCTCGAGATCCGCTTCAATGAGAGCTAGAGGACGTTTCAATGGAAGAGAGATTAGAACTGTAAGAGAGGGAGAAGAGAGATGAGTGAATGGGTGGGGGCGGGTGTGGTTCATAGGGGTGAATGGAAGATAACTGGTATGATAATAGGGTTAGAAATAGGTTTTTTATTTTTTATTTTTTTAATTTAAAGGTGGGTTAGAAATAGTTTTAGATTGATATTCTGTATGAAAAACCTCTTTTCATAAAAATTAGTTATCACATTAAGTGTGTATAAGAAACCCCTTATTAGAGAAAATAGGTTTCTTTTATTAAGGAACCCCTTATTTAATAATTGTGGTTTCTTATCATTGGTTCTTTATCCATATTTTGTAGTAGTGTTAACTTATGTAGATTCAGATTAGTCAGATAAATGAGTTCCAACTTATTTGTCATATTTGTATTACATCAGCAACTTTTGTTGGTTCAGATTAGTCAGATAAATAACATTAGTCACATATGCAACTACAAAGCATCTTTAAGACATATTATAAATGAATTGATATGAAGCAGACAAGTAAAATAATACAGTACTTCGTAGCATATACAAGTATGTTCTATAAATGACATATTATATGGAATGAAAAAAGTTAATTAAGTGGTCAAAAAATTTGAAACATAAGTAACAGTTAGCCTAATAGAGTTGGCTTCTATGCAACCGAACATTTTGAACATAAAAATATAGATAGTTTTATAATATAATGAAAGTACAATGTAGGATGTTTGTGAGGCAAACATATCAAGGAAAGAATATAAATAAATACTCTGACACATGAAAAGCATAACGTTGGCAATATAAATGGAAATCATATTTGAGTATCTTATCAATCAAGAAGAGTCAGCTAGTTTTACTGGCCCGTTTGAGGTGGGTTCTTCTTCTTCTTGCAAGGAAGCAGGGGTTTTCCACACAAACATTGATTGTGTGCATAAGCTACAACAGGAAATATATTGAATGGTCTGCCTTGTGGTATTTCTCCACATAATCTGTTTGCCCTGAAATTAGCATGCCTCAGGTTAACAATTCCAAGCAAGCTGTTTGGAATGGTTCCGGTGAGGCGGTTGATAGACAACTCTAGCCATTGTAGCTTCACAAGTAGTCCTAAACTCGAGGGAATGGTACCGGAGATTTGATTACGACGTATATCAAATCTTTGTAACTCAACTAAGTTTGAGATTGAGTTTGGTATATGTCCTGTAATCTTGTTACTCCCAATGTTTAAAACTTTCAATGACAGCCCTTCTCTGAACTCAGGAATAGGGCCTGAAATTATGTTCCTTGAGACATCAATAACCTCTAGGAAGCTGGTTGTGTGGTTATTGATGAAAGCCGAAAGCGGTCCGAAGAGCTGGTTCGAGCTGAGATCAATAGATGATATCCCCCTAGGTAAGACAATGCTAGAAACATCAAACTTGAGTTGGTTTTTGGATATCTTCAGAAACTGTAAGTTTGACATTTTTGCTAAAATAGTTGATAAACCACCTATGAAATGATTATTGGAGAAATCAATAGAGGTTAAAGAGGTAGGTGTAATGAAAGTAGGAAGAGTTCCTTTAAGATCACAGCCAGCTAAATGAACAGCAGTCAGTTTTCTGGTTCTAATCCAGTTAGGAACTGTCCCTAAACTGAGTTTGTTGTAGGAAAAATCAATTGACAGCAAAGAAGGCAATCCTAAACCTTTGGCAAAAGAAGTTGGCAAAGGATTTTGGAGTGCATTGCTTGATAAATTCAAGTACCATAAGTTCTTTAAACTAGCAAGAGACTCAGGAATTTGACCTGTAAGATGATTATTACTGAGGGAAAGACTAGTAAGTGACTTCAGACCACCAATTTTGTCAGGAATTTTTCCTGTGAGCTGGTTACCACTCAGAGAAACATCTGAAAGTGCAGTAAGACTGCAGAATGATACCGGTATTGGACCGGAAAGCAGGTTATTAGAAAGCTCGACGAAAGTCAGATTACGAAACTGCCCGATGAATTCAGGAATTACACCCGACAGTAAGTTTCTGCTAAGATCAAGAAACTGCAAACCCTGAAGGTTTTTAAAAGTAGGTGGGATGGGACCAGAAAGCAAGTTTTTTCCTAAGTTTAGTTGTAGGAGACCCTTGAGATTTCCTAAACTAGTTGGCAATTGACCTCTAAGACGGTTACCGTCTAACATGAGTGTTTTAAGGGATGACAGGCGGCCGAGGCCGGAAGGAATGGGCCCCACAAACGAATTCCCCTCTAGGACAAGCTGTGATAAGTGTCTTAAGTTGGAGATTGTATCAGGAATGTTTCCTGTAATGTGTTTCATTCCACTGATCACTAAAACTTCTAGAAACTGCAAGTTACCTAAATCAGGTGACAATGTTCCTGCCATGAAAATAGCATCACTGATACTGTCACTGTCAGAAGGCTTCTGCAGTTGTAATGCAGTAACTCTTCCTATTGATGGATTACATTCAACACCTTCCCAGCTTCCTCCGCAGCAATCGGAGCCGGTCCACGACTCGAGTATTCCCGTAGTATCCTTGATTATTTTTGATTTGAAGCTAAGAAGTGCAGCTCTATCAGCTGCATTACAATTTGAGCTAACAGTTTCATGATTTTGGGATTTGGACAATTGCCCAAATAATGAAAGAATCAGCAAAAGCTTCAGAACCCATCTTAAATTTTGCATTTTTAGAAGTGGGTTGTAATTTGAATTTGATGATATGCAAAGATCAAAATTTAAATGAAGAATGTGTGAATATTTTGGCAGGGAATGAAGACAAAGAAAAAACAGAGGAAAAGGCTGTAAAGTAAACAACACGGGTTGTTAAAAATTTTGATTCTTTGAATCTTCACTTAGACTAGAAGAAATAATGATGAAAAGAAAAAAATCAGAATAAAATTTGAGGGTGATAAAATTATAAACTCATTTGGTCGGATATTTATAAGTGGTTAAGAAAAAGGTAATAATCTCATCATTTGTATAGAATTGAAATGAAAAGGTTGCAACTTTTTGAAATGAAAAAAGAAGGGGGGTTTTAGTTTAATTTTGTTCACATGATTTATGAACATTTTTTTGTCGAGTTACCGTTAAATTAAAAAAATTTTAAAAAAATAATAATTCACGGGGATGGTAATTTCAACTCGAACGTTGGAGCGCACTATAATTCAAATGAAAAGTCTTCGAAATTGTAATAATATTGGGGAGATTAATATATTATATAGTTGAATGAATGAATAGCAAACCAACAACTCAGAAAATGTCAATATTGGGCAGTGACTTGACACTGTAAAGTTGTTTGAATTACCAATTCAGATATATAATATAAAAATTATACCCAAAAAGTCTAAAAATCTAAATTTAATTATTGCATAGTAAAATACTAACCTCACTTAAGAAGTAAAATTGAGGAATATAATAGGTTGCTGCTGCACTGGGATTGCCTCTGATTCATGATGAAGGTTGCTGCTTCAAACATTCCATTGTTGTATTAAATATTTAGATAATTAAAGTAATAATTAATTATATTTGATTTGATTTGGTAATTTAATGATGGTACCGACATGCCCTTTTCTTTTGAGACTCATAGTACAAGGTGACAAAGAATTAGAGATGAAGGTGCATGCAATCTTCCGCTCTTGTGCATTGTTAAGCCAACATGAGGGGTGATTTAGAAATCTTGTTAGCGCGAGATTCGACCCCTTATCTTGCCTATAAATTGGAAAATCTCACAAGCATAATTTTGTGTTATATGGCTTGTCTTGCCACTTGTGTGAGTTGCATTCGCTCGACTCCAATTGGCTAGGTGAATTAACTTGAAATTCAATAAGTGCACAAGAAATTCAATTTTTTCTTTTCTTCCATATACAAAATCAAAAATTTACCTCGACACTTAAATAAATTTAAATTAATACACTTTAGTAGGAAAAATTTATATTAAAAAAAAAAGAAAAGAAAATATAATCAAGTCATCAACAAATGTTTGAAATTTAGGAAACCTAAACCTTTAAATGAGCAACTCGTGATCGAATTGACTCGATTCGAAACCTTAACGAGCTTGAGTCGAGCAACCCTCTGCTCGTGATCGACTCTCAATTAGCAGCACTTGTGTTTTTGTCAGATGATAATAATAATTTAGGATGACTGAAATTTGTATAATTCTAGAGAAGATTGCAAATAAGTTGGTGCACTATGATGCACAATGCTCATGCTGCACTTATGTTTATTGAAGTTGTATAATATGTTTCATTGGGGTTGAACTATTTCTTGCATTTTATATAAAAAAAAAAAGTTTTAGACAATTATTAAGGCACTATTTGGTTTAACTTTTTTAAAACAAAAAAAATACATCATACCTTATTTGAAGTATTATTTAAAATTATCTAAAATCTCTATCTTTATTGTTGAAGATATATAGGGTTGACTTTAAGTCTTAGTAAGAATGTCTTAGCACACTCCCTTCACTGGATGAAAACCACAAGTATTACCATCTAAGCTAGAAATTAATCATGTTCTATCTATGCACACAAGCTTAGAGGCGCACGCAATGCGTGCACTACTATCCGTCCTCCCTCCTCAAATTTACCAAACACATTTTCTTAATTATATATAAAGTTATCCATATACTTTATCTATTTGCATAAATGACATATTGACATTATCCATTACTCTTATAATTAGTACATGTAAAAATATATATAAAGTTTCTTTATATCCAAACTCGAAACACTTTACCTTACTTTGATAGCTAAAAAAATAAAAATGAATGAAAACTTAATAAAAGAGCTTGTGGTAGATCAACATGTTTTTGTGGTAAACAGGTAGCCTTGAAAAACTTGTCATTGTCAAGAAAAATAATACATGCCCGCCATAAGTCCATAACCCACACCAAGGTCCCCAACTATGTTCTCGACCTATCTTTCGAATGAATTTAACTTGAGAGACTTGGTGTATACCCATGAAGTAATAACCTGTATTTCACAAATATGGTCAAGATATAAGCTAGGTGTATGATCCACTATATTGCATCAATATCCTATCTAAAAAAAAATAAAAAAAAATCTGATCTTGGATGGACAAGCTTTCCCTAAAAAAAAAAGAAAAAAAAAATGGATGGACAATCCATTTACATTGATATATAAAATAATGGTTCGAAGTAAATACCCAAATATATTGATATAATATGAATGACAATGTGACACCATTTACACCAAAATATATATATAAATCATAAGAACATAGGAAGAAATAAGAATTAAAATTATTAATAGGAAGAAATAAGAATTAAAATTATTAATAACTCCTTTGTTACACATTATTTGCAACGATTAGACATTTTCTACTCATGCTTTATATCAAATCATTGCAAATATATATGAAACGAAGGTAGTATGTACTCCGTATTAATTTAACTAATTGACAATGATAAGATGCATTTTAAAAAGAAAAATAAGTAATAAAAAACTTACATATAACTCCATGTCAATTTTTTTTTCTTTTTTTTTTTTGAAACAACTCCATGTCATTCTTGTTATATTCTATTACGTAAAACTAAATAACAAATAAAGTGACTAAGGTAAAGTTTTTATTTGAAAGGTGGAAGAGGTAAGGGTCCATTTTATTCACCTTATTTTCATTTATTACAGGTCTAATAAGTCTAGATAAGTTCAGTTTAGGAAAAATAAGTTCTGACAAAGGTTGCATTAGTTCAAATTACAACTAAAATAAGTTTTAATAAGGGCTAATAAGTTTAGATAAGTTGTGAACACATCCTAAGTTTAATGTAATGGTAGTTATAGTCCCTTATAGATAGATAGGAATGAATCTGAATAATAGAGGAGATGAAACAAAAAAGAAAATTTAACCATAAAGTAAGTGCTGAAAATGTAACTGCATATTTTATTGTATCTAGCTTTTTTTCTTTTTATTAAATTACCATATTACCCTTGTATTACATTTTTTTTTTTTTGGAAACCACCCGCGGATAAATATATTAATAGAGGCCAATTTCCGTCAAAGTTAAGATACTTTGTGGAAAAGAACCTAAGCAAACAAACTCATTACAACCTCTAGAGTCCCACCTAGCCACATTGTGAGCTAGATTATTACCCGCATGCTTTACAAGAGAAATCGAGAAAGCAACATAGCATTGAGAAAGAACACATATATCATTAATAATTAAGGAGAAAGGAGTAAAATTTCCATACTTCTTCTTGACACCATTCACGACCCTTGAGGCATCACTCTCCAAGATAACGACGTAGCCCAACCTAGAAGCCAATTGCAACCCATATCGGCATGCTACAGCTTCAGCCACGATAGAGTCCCACCCATCATACTCTTTACGCACGGTAGCAGTCAATAACTTCCCTGTTTCATCTCTAAGCACAACACCTAAACCAATCGCAATCCCACAGTGAGCATCACAATTTATTCTCACCATCCCCGAGCAAGGCTTAACCCACGATGAAGCTGATGGCTGGGTCAGAACACCATGCCCCAAGCACACCCTATTCGCATACTCACCATACTCAACAACTGATTTCAACAGGTTGGAAGCAACACTAACCGGGCATACACTCGCATTGTCAAAAATAATCTTATTACGGCACCACCAAGCAGCCCAAGCAAGTGTAACCAACTCCCCTCATCTCCTCACTACTGACCTTCGAAGCAAACCACAACAGCCTTGTACTAAAACACGAAGATGGAGCTTGAGAGATTAGGGGGAGAAATAAACTGGCATTCCATATGCTACTAGCTTCACTACACTCAAATATGGCGGGTAACACCGATTCATCCCCATTCCCACAAATCGAACATGACTTATTCTCAACCATATGACGAAAATGCAGCCTTTTAACTCACCGCGAGAAAACCTTTGCACGCCCTCCATAGAAAATGTGCTAATTTCGGATGAACCTTTAACCCCTAAATTAGCTTCCACACTTCATCAAGAGGTTTGGTTTGCAATCTTGTAGACCCCTGCTTACCCAACCAATACCCCAAGCGAACCGAGTACTCACCTTCCTTTGGACGACCACCAATACATCATATCTTTCATAGGTCGATAGGATAATGGGATCGATAAAATTAATGCTTTATCAACGGCGTTAAAATTGTCATTAATCACATCCTCACGCCACACCATTGCCTCATGGTCAATTAACTCACTAACCCGCAGCCCCATATTGCTATGGTTTAAAGGAGTCAGCACGCACACGGAGGAGTTCCTAGGCAGCCACGCCGAGTCCCAAACCGTAATGTTGCTAACATTCCCAACCCTCCAATTCAATCCATCAAGCAACAAAGATTTGGCTCCCCATATACTTCTCCAAGTATAACTAGGATCAAAACCCCGACAAGCCTCCAATACATCACAATTTTTAAAGTATTTTGCTTTCAAAATAGAATGTAGGAGAGTACCTTGATTATGGTGGAGACGCCAACATTGTTTTGCCAATAGAACTTGATTGAAACACCTAAGGTCACGGAAACCCATACCACCAAGACTTTTCGGCTTGCACAAGTCCTCCCATTTTGCCAATGCAACTTCTTCCTCGATGCCATAGACCCACACCAAAAACAAGCAAAAATAGAATGGAATTCATCAATAATACCATCGGGTATCTTCAAAATGCTCATCATATCAGTCGGGATCGCCTGGGCTACTGCTTTTATCAAGACTTCTTTACCGGGCATTGACAATAATTTCTCCTTCCACCCTTGCAATTTCATCCAGAAATGTTCTTTAAGGCCTACAAAAATAGCTCTCTTAGATCTGCCAATTATCGTCGGCAAATCAAGATATTTCTCATGCTTGTCCACTTCCCGAACTCCTAATGTGTCCGCAATTTCCTTCCGACGATTGGTGCAAACTTTTTTGCTAAAGGCAACTTCAGTTTTGTTTAAATTAATTTTC